GGTACGCCAACTCACCCCATAAGCAGCATGTGTTACCCGAGTGAATCCCTTGTAGCGTCCGTTTTTGCCCCGATCCACCCTGAATGTTTATCTGGTATATCTACCAGAGGAGCCGTTTAAGCGGCTTATCTCACACAACACATGTAGCATCCACGCCAAGGCGTGGGTTCCCCCAACTGAAGGCGGAAAAAGGGTACTTATGACAAATTATTTTATTCAAATTAATATGACTTCGTGAGGCACTTATGAGCTTAACATAGTTATGCATATGAAGTGACAAACTGGGCAAGCAACGTCACGCTTCCGTGTGACAATGTTTCTTAGTAGTGCGCTGCAACGGTTGCAAACACAACCATGCCAGTTCCCAGGTGCATTGCTAAAAATGACAGAATCACACTGTTATTCTGAAAGAACATTTTAAAGTCTGAAAGTGGCAAAGCTCCACCAAGATATTTTGGAAGCAATTTCAAAAAACAAAGGCAATAAGATCTTACACATTAGATCCTTTGCACCAGTGTTAACGAGATACAGTCCCATATTAAATTTAGACATTTCGCGTAGTGACCAAACCTCAGAGCCTGAAAAATTAAAAAAAATTATTCAACATATTAAGAAAACGCGGAAAAACAATCAAAAGAACTGGCTGCAAGACAATATTTCTCGTGCTGTCTCAATCAAACATCAATTATAACAAAAAGACAAGAAATACAGTCAGATTCGAGAGGAAACCGAAATTCACTTTGACATGATTAACACAGAGGTATGGCAATTATCTCTTACCTAGCAGGGAATCGATCAAAGAGGACGTAGAATTTGTGTCTTCGTTCGGTTTTGCCACGTAAATCACTTCCTCGGTCGGCATTCCTTCTGCGGATATTTCTACGGAGTCTAAATCATTCGCAAATTTATAAAATCCAGTGTAAAATCTAATTTGGATAGCTACGTGCACTGAGTGAACACAATTTCTCTCCTTCCTATTCATCCTTACATTATTTATGACAAACATACAGGATTAAAATTAATTATGATAGGAAATCTGAAATTCACATCAAAAAAGAAACTGCGGGTTGCGGTCAAACGCGTACTGCGATATGGATAACTTTCTCTAGAACAATTATCTCTTACCTGGCAGGGGTGCGACCAAAGAGTAAGAAGCCTTTGTGTCGTCATTCTTTTTTGTCCCGTCAATCACTTCCTCGGTCGGCATTCCTTCTGTGGATATTTCTGCAGAATCTACGGTATTCAAGCATTTATAAAATCCAGTGTTAAAAGTTATTGGGAAAGCTACGTGCAGCAACTTAATACAATGTTTCCAGTGCCTATTCATCCAAGCATTGTTTATGACAAAGATACAGGACTAAAATTAATTATAATAAGAAATCTGAAATCCACACCGAAGAAGAAATTGCTGTTTGCGGTCAAACGCGTACTGCGATATGGATGACATCCTCTAGCACAATCATCGCTTACCTGTCAGGTGTGCGACCAAAGAGTAAGAAGCCTTTGTGTCGTCGTTCGGTTTTGTCACGTCAATCACGTCGTCCGTCGGCATTCCTTCTGTTGATTTTTCTACAGAGTCTACAGCATTCAATAATTTATAAAAGCCAGTACAAAAAGTAATTCTGATAGCTTTGTGCACTGGCTGAACTCAATTTGTCTCCTGCCTATTCTTCCTAATATTATTGATGACAAAAATATAAGACTAACAATTAATTATAAAAACAAAACTGACATCCACATCAAAGAAGAAACTGCGGGTTACGGTCAAACGAGTACTTCGATATGGATGATATTCTCTACCACAATTATCTCTTACCTGGCAGGGGTGAGACCGAAGAAGAAATAGAATTTGTGTCGTCGTTCGGTTTTGTCACGTCAATCAATTCCTCGGTCTGCATACCTTCTGTTAGTATTTCCACAGTATCTCAAGAAATGGATAATTTATATATTGGATTATTCGAAACAATTGCAAAATATAGGGCGCTGGCTAACAATCAATGTCTCTTCTTTCCATATTCATCAAAACTAATTGGTGATCAAAGTACAGAACTGAAGATTTATTATGAAAAGAGATCTGAAATCCACTTTGGAGGAATAAATGCGCGATACAGTCAAGCGGATACTTCAAGAAGATTTATACAGCAGTACGGCATTAATGCTTACCTGGCAAAAAATCGACCAAAGAGGAAGTAGCATTCGTGTCTTCGTTCGGCTTTGTCACATCATTCACTTCTTCATACGGTACTGCGTCTGTTTGTATTTCCATAGAGTCTAGAATGGAAAGTATATACACGGAATTATCAGCAACAATTGCGAAATATAGGACACTGGCTCATAAGGCACTGTTTTCTCGTGCACATTCAAAAAAGGCTGATTAAGGAAAAAAACGGAATTGATACCTTACCTGGTAGGGATTCGATCAAAGAGGACGTAGAATTTGTGTCGTCGTACATTTTTGTCACATTAATCACGCCCTCGGTCGGCATTCCTTCTGTTGGTATTTCCTCAGATTCTACGGTATTCGAACATTTATAAAATGTTTCCAGTGCCCATTCCTCCTAACATTATTTATGACAAAGATGCAGGATTAAAATTAATTATAATAAGAAATCTGAAATCCACACCGAAGAAGAAACTGCGGGTTGCGGTCAAACGCTTGCTTCCGTACGGATGAAATTCTCTACCACAATCATCTCTCACCTGTCAGGTGTGCGACCGAAGAGTAAGACGCCTTTGTGTCGTCGTTCGGTTTTGTCACGTCAATCACTTCCTCGATCGGCATCCCCCCCTGTTGGTATCTCCACTGGGTCTTAAGATATGTATTATTTTATATTTAATTATTAAGAACAAATTCGTAGTGTATGGCGCTGGCTCTCTGGCAGCTTCTGCTCGTGGCCTTCCCTCTAAACCATATTTATGACAAATAGGTGAGCTCTAAATTAGTTATAGATGCGATCTGAAGCCCACTTTGAAGCAAAAACTGCAGACTAGAATCAGGATGTACGTTGGAAAGATTCTGCTTGCCTTAGGTCATTTGTCCCTTACCTGGCAGGGGTGTGACTGAAGGGGAAGTAGCGTTTGTTTCGTCGTTTGCTTTTGTCATATCAATCACTTCTTCGGACAATATTCTTTCTGTTGTTTTTTCCACAGAGTCTACAAAATTGAAGAAGTTGCTTAAGGACTGGCGTTATGAATTTCAGTCAGAATATGGCAGGTCGTAGCTGCATGCAATGTATGCATTCTCCTCCAGATGCCTTCATACTTCTAACAGACAATTTATATTCAGGATGGAGAACATGTACTTCGCACATATCTTAAATGTTATTTTCGGTGATTTACTAAGTACTGTAGTCGCCGGTTATTAAGCCCACAGTTAATAGGCCCAGA